AGGTGAGATGGTGAGGGACACGGGCAGGGGGGTGTTGCGGGGGACGGGTGGGGGGGATGTTCCCACTGCTGGGAAAGGAAATCTCGCCGGAAAGTGCAGCTCCAAAGTGGCATCAAATTCAGGGATCAGGGCTCGTCGGCTCCTCGGAAGTCTGCATGTTTATTGCAGTCTCAAAATGGGGGCAGTAGAAAGGACTACAAGGAAGATCTGCTGTGCACCGCCACCCCTCAGGAAGACAGACAGAAAGACAATCTCTCTTGACAGAACTTTTGTTCTCCTGAGAGAATACAAACTTCTCCCACCTAACTGGATATGGGCGAGGAATCGCAGCTGAACTCATATATTTCTGTGACTGAAACAGTTTAAATTAAAAAGAGTATGTATGCACATAACCCCCCACCCCCACCGCCACACACAGAGGTTGCACTGTCCCTTTCATGAAAAAGAATACCAATTGAACTGCTGTGATCTCTAATTCACTCCTCCTGAAGTTCAGCGGGATACCAATGGCACTACTCTAGATAAAGTCTTTCAACATGCATCTCTAAACACTTCAGCCTTCCACCTGAGGAGTGATTCAATAGCTGCAAACATCCTGTCCCAGATGACACAACCTATGAATAATCCCATGTCAAGAGACATTTTTCCCAGTGAGAATTATTGCTAGGTATATATGCTAGAACTGTGCAGTCTTCAAACAGATGTCAGAATTCCCCATTTCTCTGTCCTTGAGAAATGTTCAGGGCATGCAATCACGCATTGTGCCGGCTACCCGTGATACACAGGCCCGAGCTTTAAAATCAACTTAAATCTCCCACTAGATTTGTGGCCTATATTCTTGATGCATGATATCAACTAGCAGCATCACACCAGCAAAACGAGAAAAATCTGTCTTATCAATTAGGCATAGAGTTTATTCCAAAATGTCATGAAATAAAGAGGAAGGTCAGAGAATCCACTCCAACAGAAATACTAGTTTCTATTCCCCTTGAGAGAAAGAAAGAGATGCACACACGCACACACACATTATTCTGTCACTCAATATCCACCCCCCCCCCAGCAAAAAATAAAGGATATGCCAATAAGTCGAAGAAACTATAAAGGTCTTGTGTATTTCTGTTTTATGTAGATAATAAAATATTACTTTAACATAAATATATAAGGATCTCTGCGCTTTTATTTTTCCCCACGAGCACATCCAAATGTACCAAAAAACAAAGTATTTCTTTAAAGAGACTGAACCAAAAAAAAAAAAAAAATACATCCCATATAGAATTTTTGTTTGTTTGTTTACCTACTCATTTAAAGCTACAGGAAAAAAAAAAAACAGTTTCCAGAACCTGTTTGCTTTAGAAGAAATAAATATACATTGAGGCAGGCCACTTAAAAATGATATGAAAATATTTCCCTGGGTAGCATTTAAAAAGAAAAAGAAAAAATAGACAAAGGAAACATTTCAACTATTTCTGCATTTCAAAGGACAAATATTAAACATATATACAGAGCGGTAAGGTTTGCTTGGTCACTTTTTTAAAAATTATTTTTAAGTAAATCTTGCCAAGAGTTAGGAGGTCTACCTCCTCCAAACTCCTTCTTTTGACCTTACCCAGGTATTAATAAGTGTTACTGTCCCCCTGCTGCCACTTCTTCATCCCTGACCTGAATAGCAATAGAGAAGGAGTTTGTATCCATCTTATAATCAACAGCAGCTACAATAGTCTCAAAAAGAAATTAGTATCCACATTGTCTAGATGGGGAAAAAAATCCCCACAATGTGAAAATAGAATAAAGACTTCCTAGAAAGCTACATTATGTCTTCTGAGGAAACTGGGAGAATAAAATCCAGTGTCAGACTGGGGCTTAGAGCTCCCTTGGAGACCAGAATATTATGAAATCCCACTGACCTAATCCAATGTTTTATCTGCAAATTTATCTGAGAGATTATTCAATTGGCCTCAGAATTCTCAATCATTTCATCAGGCAAACTTTTGTAAAAATTATTAGGAAAAAAAATACACAGACAGCCCCGTTTTGTGCTGAGTAGATGTTTCAGAATGAATTACGATCACAGTTTCAAGGGTTACCCCTAATATGGAATATAATACACAATTTCAAGGCCCTCCCCCAAAGCTCCCTCTCTAAAGCCTTCCGCCTTGTTTTGCTTTGTTTGGAGAAAGTTAACCATTTTCAACCAAGTCAATGTACCCATTAAAACCATGAACCACAAGGAGAAGGCAAAGGATGGATTGAAAAATGTCATTCAGGTTGTTTTTGTTTTCACTTCATTTGACTTCCTTCAAAAATAAACCCACATAGAGTTAAACTGGCCTTTTTCATGCCATCTACATTAAGCTGATATGCCAGGCAGCATTTGGGATGCATTTAAACCCTAGAGGGAAATTCTCCCACCTGCACAAGGCCTCAGCAACCTTAAGCGCAGACCGCCTCCTCAACCATGCCCTTGATTTTGAAAGCAATCTTCACAGACATTTTTGATTTGGAAATCAACCTCACTGATTTCAGTGAACGAAAGTCTGACTTCTTTATCATCCTGAACTCCTCATATTTCAATGGGGCAAATACTCTCCAAAGCAGCTCTTTTGAAAGAACCTCTCTCTCCCTCTACTGAAGTCAAACCTCCTGAGATGAATGGATCTAGGCTTGTTCGCAAGGGCTGTAATTTTTCCATCACTGAACTCACAGCGTAGTTCATGAGGTGGAAGCCAGCCAGCCCCATTTATAGTGGGCATCCCTCCGGTTCTGATCTTCGATAAAGCAAATCAAAGGGAAAGGCTCTACCTTAGGATCACAGAATGCCTTCTCTGAGCTTTGTTACTTCGATCAGTGGGGTTTCCCTTCAAGGGTCCCCTTTCCCCACAGGTCAGAATGAAGGATTTTGCCTTCCGGGGCTCCCCCTTCTTCATTTCACATTTAAAAGCAGATGTCAGCATCAGTGTCCTAAGGTTCAGGTAGTGCTGGATATGCAAGGTATATAGGGAACTTTCTGAAGTTAAGCAGTCCTTGCATTCTCTCTCATTCTACCCCATTGTTAGAATCATCTCCCCAAAGTGCCACTTCCTGGTGGGAAAAGCTGCCAGAGTCTTTCTACAGTCACCCATTTTTTTGCTTTTGCTCTAATTAAATGTGGCTTGCCCAGATGTCTTGACTTTCCCCCAGATGACCTTCAGAGATGTTGGACTAGGACAGCATGGGCATGCTGGCAGGGAGTGATGGGGGCTGTAGTTCAACTTAGCTGGAGGGCATCAACTTGGGGAAGGGAGGCCTAACAGTAAGTATTCATTCTTCACCTTCCTTTCCCACTTCTCACATACCAACAATTTGTTGTCTCTGGAGCTGAATAATTTCAGAACCACATTTCTGGGAAGTGGCTGTTATTTATCCCCCCCCCCCTTTTTCTTTTCCCTTTTTTTTTTTTTTTTT